CCCCCCCCCGGGGGCCTCTTCCCCTCAGTCCGGAGCTCCCCGGCTCGTCCTTGTGCGGGGTGGGGGGAGCAGGCAGCCCGCCTAGGCCCCTCCTGCAGCGCCGGCGTCTGGGGCTTTAACTGCCCTTCCCTCGATATCAAACAGACGGCGGGAATCGCGATAACACGTCAGGTGTCGCGACAGAGAAGTGCCTTCCGGAGAAAAGGGGAGATTGCGGTTCCGATGTGTGCAAATCCTTTGTGTAATTCTTTCCCGAGAAAAGTGTCTCGTTGCAAGAGGTATCGCTAATCAATTATTCGTCGTTTTTATTTCCTACCAACCATTTTTCAAGCGTCTTAACCCAAGCATGAAGAAAACTGCAGAGCGTCACTTATCTGTTTTCAGTCCACTTGTGCAAGCAAAGTACTTAAATGCTCTTGGTTGTGCAGCGTGTGATCTTCCCAGAGCAGCACCTGCGAGGGCTTACGAGATGTGTTTTATCCTCCTCTTGGTATTGCCTCTAATTGCTAGGTACAAGTTTTAGGATAAATTGCAGATGCAGGTTAGTTAGTTCAGCAATAATTCATTGCACTCACTTTTTACTATAGCACTTCATTTTTCTTTCTTCAATCGCACCTAACATCTCAAGAAAACGTAAGTTTATGCGGAAAACTTTTTGACACAAGACTTTTACCTCTTTATTACACAAACCCGGTTCTTTGTTGCAGGAGAGCATGCTCTCAGTAGATGAGGTTGGGTTCCTGAGTGATGTCATTTGTGCTGGAGCAACGGTGATGACTTTGTGATTGAATAAATCCTACTGGACGTGTCAGGCGTCGTGATTTTGTGTGTGTGTGCGCTGTAGAAACTTCGTCTGATTCAGCAGCCGACTGAGAAAATTCTGTGATCGGTGCTACGTAGGCAGCAAGGGAATAGAGTGATGATAGTTGCTTTTTCCTTTCAGCACGTGCATTTCTGATCAGGTCTTTTTCCACCTAAAGAATTTGGACTTGTTAGAGTCCATTCATTTAAGTAAATGCCTAAAGAGGTGGAGAAGGATGCTGTTAAAGCACATAACGGATATTGGAGGTGGAGAGAGCAGGCTCTCACAGCTAGCAGCCTGGGGAGTGGAGTGAAGGGTGCAGGGAGAGCATTCAGCTGGGTCTGGTGTCCTGTAAAGCCAGTCCAGGGTGGGGGTAAAGCAGTGACAGCAGAAAGCAAACAGTGGCAAATTAACTGACCAGTAATTTTTTAGTAGAGGAAGGTTTGGATCAAAAGCAAGTAAGCGTCAGAACAAGCAGAGGGGAAGATTTGCAATAAATACAGGATCTAAGCTTTCAGGGGAAAGCTCTTCCACAAAAGAAAAGCTATTTATTTTTTAAATTATATTTACACTGTGCAGTTGGGTGGAATTTCTGAGGTGAAGAAATCAGAGATTGACCCTTTTCAGTGGGAGTCACAGGTCGAGCTGGAGCTAGAAGATGGGCTGATGAATAGGCTGTAATTTACAAGCATCACTTCAAATATTTTCAATATTTTTCAGCTATTTTAAGAAGCCATATTGAGTTCAAGCCCAACCAGCCTGGTAGTCTAGAGAGAGGAAGGATGCGTGTGGCTGGAACAAGAATTAAACAAAAATAGATAAATCTGACATAATGGATGACAAGGGAAAGATGATTGCTGAAAGATGCTGGCATGCTCTCTGTTCCTTCATGCTTGGCGTATATTTTGTTGTGTTACATGGCTTTTGAAGTGTAAAAAAAGAAAAAATCTCATTTTGTGCTGAGATAAAAGAAAAAGCAGGTGCTTAAATTCTGTTAAGGATCAGCTTTGATACTGACATTAAGTAGTGACCTTACTTGCAGTTACCCCTCTGTCATTTTGTGAATTTCTTAACCAAATAAATAATGCACTTAACACCAAGTAAATACCATTTAATAAGATGGTATTTTTGATCCCTTTTCACTTTACATTGCAAACAGATTCACACTTTTTCTGCCTGAGCACAGCCTGGGGTGCTATTTCTGTTAATAACATTAAAAAATATGTTGGAGAATGTCCACATAGTATTGTTTTTTCTCCAAATGTAAAATTAAGAAGCCCTTATGTTCTCTGTAACTTGGATATTTTGCCTTCGTTTTAAGTCTTACTTGTTTCAACTTGTCCTCTGATAGATAAGCTTTTATATCTGTGTTTGCTTCTGGGAACTGTTACCAGATCAAGAGATGAAGTAAGGGTTCTGTCAAGGACTGAAGTGTGTATTTCCCAGAAACGCAGACTGCTGTACAATGTACAGGAGCCTTTGCTTGTATCCTCACCTGCACTCGCTGATATGCCTGGGTGTGGGATGGAAACTTTTATAGATGTTTCCTCTCCAGTGCAATACTTTTTCCACCTTGGTTTGTCCACTCATCTTTGTTCTCCTTTGGTTTTGACCTCAACTCGTTACTGGCCGGCACGTGGAGATGGGGAGAGGAGGAGGTAAAGGTGGTTGCCCTGATTGCCCCCACCCCAAAGCCTCCATCGCTGAAACATTTTGTATCCCGTATATTGCTGGCGTGCTCATCTTCAGCGAGGTAATAGTGAGAGGGGCTACTGATTTATGAAGATGGGAGATGAAGTAATGTCCATTCTGTGTTCCTCTAAAGCTTGGTAACTTTCAGGATTCCGGGATTTATGGAATTATTAAATACACCACTGAGAACATAGTCACAGCCTGACTTGCTTGATTTATTTAACAGATGATCCAGAACTTTTAAATAATTGCTTTAAGAACATGTAGTTCACTGAAACACTACACGCAACAACTGAGTAACAGGTCACTCCGTCACATTGTGGACTGTAACCGGGGCCTGATGACTCCTCTAAGGCTGTGGGCTAAAATGCTCCTGAAAATGAGTAAAGGTTTCACAGTTTTCTGCATCTGTAATAGTGTGTCACCCCACTGCTTTCAATTTTCAGCACTTTAAACGTTTTCAAACTGGGAAGTTAAATGAATAATTTAAATTTTTATTCCTTGTGTGGTATGCCATATTCCCATTTTCCCATTGTATTTTGTGACTCGTATTAAAGTCTTAGCCATAATGGTCTTTGAGCAATTTTTCTTATAATTGCAGATCGTTAGTTTGAATATGAATGCTAAAATGAGTTTGTCACACTGTGCATCTTTTTTCTTTCTAAAAAAAAATTGCTTTCCAAAGAGTGATTCAGCTGCTGAGGAACAGAGCTCCTGGATAGGCATTCTGCTGACTAGAATCCAGAAAAGTTGATTTTAACTTTGCCCAAAGATATTTTTCCAACGGGTTGTATTCCTCCAAAGCTAAGCTTACTATCTGAAATAGGCGTAGTCTGGCCTCAGCCTTGCCGACACCTGGAGCTGACAGACACTGATGTGTTCATAGGTAGCTGGTTTCCATATTTTTAGTAATTTGATTTAAATGGGCACTTAAAAAACCAGCGACGACTGTGGCCCATGGCTGGTCCAGCTTTGTAGACCCCATACACCCCTAAATTCAGTACATTCTGTCTGGGTGTCTCTTCATGCTTCCCTGCTCGTTTTGTATTTGGTATGTTGTTACTATAATTATTCTCCCGTTGTGCTCAGGAATTCTGCATAGTTTATGTATTCCCATTGCTTAACTTGTTTATACTGTGTTTGAAGATTAGTCCAGGTTTCCAGAGTTTGTGAAGCAAATGCTGATATTTCACTACTAGAATAATTTCATAAGGCTGTAGTTTGACTGCAGTCTGGCTTTGATACGGAATAGTGGGGGTGTAGTACTGGGGGTTCTCTGGAATGAAAACCAGCAGAGATTTTTAATACAAGTTTTCACGTCCCGTGCAGCGCTTCTGGTCTGCTGCACGGTGTTGTGCTTGGAATGCGTGGAGCAGTTGAGTTGAACGTCTGAGTTATTGATGTATTTAGAGATAACTGAACTGCTCCAGGCTTTTAAATAGATGCAGCGATCGGTATACTATGGGGAAATGTGGTAGAAAACAGGTTTTCTGTAAACACAGCGCATCTGAGACAAACCTTTAAGTAAAATTCTGTGGAATTAGGTGACAGATCCTGCCTCCAGTGGGAGCGGGTTCTGTAGCATCTTTGGGGTGCAGTGAGCAAGAAGGTTTTTTTTAATCTCTTACGATGTCTGTAGTAATGCGATGCGGAAAAGGTGAACCATGAAAGTGAAGCTATTTTTAGAATAAAAAAAAAAAAAAGTCAAAAACCGATCTACCAAGTGATACATTGCTGACGTCTGTTAGCGCAGCCAACCCAATTAAGGTGCCGTATATTGTTTCCAGCAGGATTCTGATTGTTTCTAATTTGGGAACCACGTGAGAGCAAGTGGAAATAGGTGAAACGACGACGTGCTTTGCTATTCAGAGTGGATCTAG